CAAACATATAACACTTAAATTTCAGTGGCATTTTTAATTCAAATCCTAGCGACACATATTTACTTCCATAGGGGAGAAGATACATTTTTAATGGTCAAGAGCGAGCATTTGTTTTGTGCTTTAAGTGCAGAGAAGGTGATTGGTGAAAGAAATTTGGAAAAATTAAAATTAAACAAAATCTTTAAAAAAAGTTTAGAGGAAATGACAAATTTGAAGAAAAAAGTATATGGAAATATTAAAATCTGAGAAAATAGCAAAGTCACTAAAAAATATGTAGATATGTATTTTTTTAAATTAAGACGTTTTTTTAAGTTGTATTTCTGGGTGGCATTTTTATCACATTTCCATTTCCAAAGATAAAAGCGGCTAAAGACAAATGGAAGACAGATTTTTCCCAACATAAACATGTCTGCCAGGAACTGAGTTTAGAACCTTTTAGGTTCAATGTTTTTGAGGACGGCCTCCTGCTGTTATGTCATCCCGCTGCTCGCTGTCTCTGAGGCCACAAGTGTTACTGGCCTCCCTGCACATTCTTAGCATAACAAGTGGCCTGGGTCAGATAACATGAGGGCAAGGAATGGGGTGGGGAGGTGGGGACACGGTCTCCCATCATCTCCTCATATTAAAGTCTTCTCAGATGACCTGTCGTCGTCCATTATGCGAGCCGAACACTCCTTCCAGGAATAGCATCCATTGTGCAGGAGTGCTGGCCACCTACCAGGTCTGCCTCTCTGCAGCACACAAGCGCCTTTGTTTAGTTGGTTAAGACATCATTACAGCTAATTTCAACTTCTGAAAGGCTTCCAGATGGCTTGAAATAAATGGGTGAGCAGAACCAGTTGGAGTCAATCGGTTCATCAGATTGTAGAAGAAGTGGCTCTCTGGGCATTTCTCCTGGTTCAGGTTTCTGGATCACATTCTTTAGTGGGTTGCTTATCAGCGCCAAGCAGTATCTGCAGTCCTTATGCACTGATTCGGAGCACGTTTTGCGTTCCCTTTGAAATTATGCATTTCTTTGAATGTGCGTAAACATGTTTCAAATGTCCTTTCTCTGGTTGTGTTCTACAGGACCTCACACACCAAGATCGGGTCCGATAAATAAAGGTAAGGTGGAGGAAACTGTATTATACGGTGGTAGGAGGGGAGTAAATGCCATGTAAAACCACTACACGACTTCACAGTAAATTAAAAAGGGAACCCTGGAGAGTAGGAACCAGCAAGAGAGTAGAAATTAAACAAAAACGACAACTTTAATTTAATTCAGTTTATTTATATAGCGGCAATTCACAACACGTCAACATCCAGTCAAATTGATTCAAAGTTTTCTAAGGAAAACCAGTTGATTGCATCGACTGATTGACTTTTCGGCAATCCCTCACAGCATGCTTGTAGCGACAGTGGAGAGGAAAAACTCCCTTTTAACAGAAAGAAACCTCCAGCAGAACCAGGCTTAGTGTGAGCGGCCATCTGCTGAGGCCGACTGGGGTTCAAGGAGACAGAAGCAGACATAGAAAAAGAAGCATAGATACAAAAGGCAACTGTAAAA